GAAAACAGTTTAACGTAAAATTTGCCTGTTCGCATCTGTTATTTTAAAACCGTAGCCTAACTTGTACCTTGTTGTGATTTGATTTGTGTCGTCTGTTGTTTATGGTCAGGAACAGAGGATTTGCTTTTTTACTATTTTTTGAACAATCCATATTCACTTGAACATAACAAAAATAATAAAATAAACAAAAACAATAAACATAACATAACCTATAGGTATTATTCCACTGCGTTATTTTTAGGCGTTATTCGAAATAGCGCTTAACGTAAATGCTGGGTAAATTACGTGATGCGGTAACGTTATTTTGGTACGTAGTGTTAAAAATCGAATCGCGCATAGGTTTAATGTCAAAATAACGTAGGCGCTAATACTGCATGATACTATTCGGGTTACCGATATCTCTCTATTATTGTTTATTGTTCTGTCTATCTGTGTTAATAGGTCATTGGAAATAGTCATATATAATATCACAAGAGAAAAAATTTTGTCGGCAAAATTTTCGAAAGGTATGAAAGTTTGTTGCTTGGCAATTTCGCGAATGACATTTTTGACAAAATCACGAGCCGTCAGGCGAGTGATTTTATCAAAAATTTCATGAGCGAAATTGCCGAAAAGCAACAAACTTGAATAAAACCTTGAGAACAATTTTGCCTACACAATTTTTTCTCGAGTGGTATTCGTCATGACTATTTCACGTAAGATTTTGAAAATAAATGGAATGCAAAAATGTGATAAAAAACTTCAAATTAAAAATACCAGTTTGACAATGTCAAAAAATGGTCGCTGAAATACCATGTTGTTGGTATTGTCCAGGTAGCAATATTGTCACCTGAATTCCGAATTTATTGCTAGTGTAATACACTCTAGTGAAATAGTCATCAAAAAAACGGCCACTAAAATCAAAAATCGACGTATCCGAGATTTTTTGAAAAAAAATCAACCCTGTATTTTTGATGGATTTTATTCCCAACCTTTACGTACTAACTGTATTTAACTATGCTATATAATATCCTCTTTCGTTTCTTGAATTCTAGTAAAGTAATCTTTGTTCGTTTTGAGTTCATTATGAAATATATTCACCATAATTATTTACACAAACTATAATAACTGGCCTTGCAGTCCTCTCGCGTCGTGTAATTTTTACTTACCCCGGTGCGAAATTAAATCCGCCAGAGGCAGTACCTCGCTGCAGCCAAAATTTTTGAATTTCCGTGTTTGCAGGGCTTACAATTCGAGACGAGATCTCAAAAACTACTTAATATTTTTTAGTGAATCAAGAAGATTTGAAAAGATAATAAAATTTAGTAGTGCTTGGCCTACTAAATGTCATGAAGGAAGTTTACCTCAACATAATTAGAAGTTAACATTTTTTGGGGGGGATCGGTTCATTTTCATGTGCTTAATAACATATTAAGTTTGCGACCTTGTACTTCCATAGGGTTTTTAGTTAGGGGTGGTTTTTAGGGGTAATTTGCGGTTTATGGAGAACGCTGCTCAAAGGGATGGGCCAATAGCAAAAAGTTTCAAATGAATGTTGTAGCTGAAGTTTTTTGCTATAAAAAACGACAGCACCCTTCTATTTTCTATAGTTTTTTTTCTGCAGCGTCTTGAATACTAGCATGTTTTTATGCAAGGTCACTGAATCAACGTTTTACCTGTTTGCGCGCGTTTGATGCAGCAGCGGCTAAATGCATAATCCGATTTCAATTTTTCAAACACCACATCATTGCTAATGAAATGCACTCTCCAATGCTTTTTTGTTCGAATTTTTTGCTTGAAAATTAAGCGAGCACCGACTTGGCTAATGTGCGAGGAAGTTGTAAATTGCATCGAAAACTACCCCTTTCTTGCATTCACTGTAATTTCTAAACAGGGCGAAATATTTGGTGACAGTTTTCGACACTCGGCAGCCCATTTATTCCTCTCATATTGCCCCAGCGGATTTTTTTTTCGTTAATTACTCAATGACTTATTGGCCTGAACACGTCGCGCGGAATTTTTCAAAAAGTCGAAAAAAATTAAAATTGTCGTAAGGCGCTGAAATTTGGTACGATGGCTTTTTTTAATGTTTTTATGAATATACTGAAATTGTAATTGCTTCACATGACTGCTGCAACCATTAAAATTGCAGTATATTTATGAGAACAATAAATAATGCCATCGTACCAAATTTCAGCGCTGTGCGACAATTTTAATTTTTTTCGACTTTTTGAAAAATTCCGCGCGACGTGTTCAGGCCAATAAGTCATTGAGTAATTAACGAAAAAAAAATCCGCTGGGGCAATATGAGAGGAATAAATGGGCTGCCGAGTGTCGAAAACTGTCACCAAATATTTCGCCCCGTTTAGAAATTACAGTGAATGGAAGAAAGGGGTAGTTTTCGATGCAATTTACAACTTCCTCGCACATTAGCCAAGTCCGTGCTCACTTAATTTTCAAGCAAAAAACTCGAACAAAAAAGCATTGGAGAGTACATTTCATTAGCAATAATGTGGTGTTTAAAAAATTGAAATCGGATTATGCATTTAGCAGTTGCTGCATCAAACGCGCGCAAACAGGTAAAACGTTGATTCAGTGACCTTGAATAAAAACACGCTAGTATTCAAGACGCTGCAGAAAAAAAACTATAGAAGATAGAAGGGTGCTGTCGTTTTTTATAGCAAAAAACTTCAGCTACAACATTCATTTGAAACTTTTTGCTATTGGACCATCCCTTTGTGCAGCGTTCTCCATAAACCGCAAATTACCCCTAAAAACCACCCCTAACTAAAAACCCTATGGAAATACAAGGTCGCAAACTTAATATGTTATTAAGCACATGAAAATTAACCGATCCCCCCCAAAAAATGTTAACTTCTAATTATGTTGAGGTAAACCCTCTTTTTAGATCCCCGTTTCTTGGACTATAGAACAATGCTCTTGTTTTATTTTTTTTTAAAAAGCGATGGGTTTGGATGTACCGAGCGATAGAAATGATGCTTTTTTTCGAGTATTAAGGTCGTGATATTTTCAATTTGCAATTTTTTTTTCGAAAAACTAAAACGACAGCATGAATGTTTAGACTTTTATCTTTTATTATTTTCTAATCCGGTCAAAAAATATTACAAAATAAGTGAGTTCTCGTCTCGGGAAATCAACCCTTTTTCTCAATTTTTAACGGCTTGTTGTTGGCCTCTTAACATTGGATGCCGTAGGTTTAAGGTCAAGATTTTCTAAAATTTGGCATCGCTGCGATAAAAAATCAGTAAAGGTTTCGATAGTGGGATAAGGCATGTTTTTACAGAATATTTCCCACTCACGTTTGTTGTTATAATCTAACTTAGATACTAGTGAAAATATCAAAATAGAATCCCAATATTCAACTTTTTCTCCCATGTTTTGTAATGCTAAGTAATTTTTCTTAAAAGTGTCAAAAAAACTTCTTAAGGAGACTGCGCTTTCCCGCGTGATTTGAGGTAAATCGAATATTTGTTTTAGGTATGCATTCATTATAAGTTTTTGATTGTCATATCTGTTATTCGACATTTTCCACGCTATATTGTAATTATCATCAGTGATCGTTATAGAAGATATTATTTGCGCAGCTTCGCCTTTAAGTGAGTTTTTAAGATGCTGTAGCTTTTCAACTTTAGGTATCGATTTATTATGCACCATCGCGTTTAAACTGTCATGAAACGGTTGCCACGAGTCATACGATTCCGAAAATTCTGGCATTTTTAATTGTGGCAATCCATAATTATGATTTATTGGAGCCGCTACCGTTATGTTTGGGACAATATTTTGATTTGAGGTTTGCCCTATATTTTGAGATTTCTGAGATTCGTCGTATCTTTTTACTAAACCTTTTGCCTGCCCTGTAGCCGCGTATAATACCTATTTTCAAAATCCAGTCGCGGCAGTCGCTCTGATTCCCATTGCTCTTCGTCAACGAAATCTAATTCTGCGAGCTGAACTTCTTCAATTTGAGTCTGATAATCTTGAAAGCAGTTTAATAAGCGTGTAACGGTTTCTAAACGATTTTTAGCTGCTCAAACGAGTCCGTATCTACGTTAAAAGTATTTAAATAATTTTGAAAACGTGTGAGTTCGCTTTTTACATTTCTGCGTTTTAGCGTTAGCCAGCCTATCGATTACCGTTGTCATTTTAACGAAATTTCAAAAAATCAGTCTTCAATTGATAGACTAAACATGCAGATGAGACGCCACTGCCTAACAAACAACTTTTTTTTTTTTAAATTTAGTTAAGAAAATCTAACCTAATTTGAAGCAATTTTACTGGTAAAAGGAACATGTAAACTTAGAAAAAAAACTTGGATAAATACTTTTAAAAGGACTGACCTTTATTTTGCTGATTTTTTGGCTGCCATCCAGCGATGAAGGACCATAATGTTGGATTTTGCCCACTTTACTTTATTTGCAGATGCAAAATCGCTGCTTGAAATAATCGATTAACCACGTTTACTTTCCTGAACAATAATTTATTGAATGAAATTACAAAAAACTGGGGTAACGCTGCGGGTTGCCGCTAGCTTCACTCCGATCGTGACCGCGCCCTGGTTCCTACGACGCACAAACGCTTTAGACGCTTTTTACACAAAAAAAAACTTTATAGAGTGCGAACATCATCTTTAGGTTTCTACAGTAAAAAGTGTCCGAAAGAGTGGTCTCGAAATCAAAACCTGCATTGGCTCTGTTAGATGATAATGAATAATCTGAGGTGGTTTGTGTCCATAGAAATAAAACCATTATAAATTCTACTACAGTTCTAGGAGGCAATTATTATTGAATACCTAACCAAATTCACTTTATGGATGGTTTCGCTCTTTAATAATTAGTGGCTTCTTGGCCTTGTAACATAATTTGTTATCTATGTCCTGAAATCTGAAACTTCTCACATGTTTCAATCAAATAAAATAAGTTCTTGATGAATTGAAATTTAAATTCACCAATAGCAGGTATTTCGTTTGATGACAAAACGGCTCTTAAAATAAAAAAAACAATTTTTTTCTCAATCAATGTTAGAAAAATCTATTGTTCAACAGTTCTCCAAGTACACTGAAATAGCTTAAAATATCTATAGGGCACTTTTTACTATACTTTTTACAATGCTTGTATTTTTTTCCATAGGTCTCTGCAGTTTCATATTTGGGCGACAGATTGCTGTTCAATGAAGAAGTTGGGCTGAAAAGAAAAACACATGTTATAATATATTTGAGAACATCTTCGGAAATGTGTATTTTTTTTGTTAAAAGTAGGGAGTAACGTTTCCTACCTAGTAGATAGTCGGCTTGAAGGCCGAGTGAAATTTTCATTGCGTTTTCACACACATAGGAAAACAAGTTGATGGCAAGTATGATTACACTTAGGTAAAGGAAAATCTGCATAATTTGTAGGTATTTGACTTACATTTTATAAATTAAAATGTCGCGTGTGCAAAGATTTAAGGTGGGTATTCTGTGTTAGATATGTCTCAAAGTGACAGTAACATAGTAACGAAAGCTTTTATTTTATAAATATTTCATTGTTCAAGAAGGGGATAATAAAATATTCCGATAATTGAGAACTAAAAGAACATTCCAACATACAAATCACCAAATGACATTTCAAAAGCTTCAATTTGAAAATTCAGCTAAACAAGCCGGGTTCTTATAAAAAACAGTACCTAGAGTTTGTAGGTGTATGATTACACCAAATGGAATCAAACTAAATCCGAACAAAATAAAAAAAAACATTCGTCCTAGTCAGAGCTGGGCAAACTACTTGAAAAAAGTAGCTATAGTGAAATTATTTAAATAGTGTATGCACGTGATCAATGACGTCGAAATTATTGCCAATTGCAGTTTGTAAGAAATTAAAATTCGTTTCAAGCTGAGAGCTCATTCTCCTTTTTATTTAACCTTAGTTAAAAAAAGAGAGAACACTGTTGGCATTTAACCGAATCGGCCGATAAAATGACATTTAGTTTGGCAATCATGAGTTATGTTGCCATATATTGCTACAAATCTGCGGTTACTGATTTTAATAATTTGAAATTATTTCTATTTGTGTATCTATAAAATGGCAAAACCATTGAATAGTCAGAGTCAGAAACTCGTTGCAACTTTAATTAGTTACTTTGAACAGGAACGAGATAATGGGGGCCCCTTTTTGCCATTAAATAGCGTTAGAGAGGTGAAGTATATTGATACTATCAAATATAAATCTTCTGGGGCTTTGATTGGGAATATTTTTCCTGCGTGTTGCAGCTGCACTGAATATTGGTATAACCACTGTGAGTAAAATCTCTCAAAAAGTTAGGGATAATTTAGCGTTAAATTCGCCAAAGAGAAAACGTCCACATAAGAAGCGTGTTACGAATCAAGATCACCTTGATGTTAGCTCTATTCGCAATCAAATTTACGACATTGTATAAAAAAAAGTGAGTAGTTGTTTAGATTGTGTTCATAATACACATATAAAAATCTATGTTTGTTAGCTTTAGTGATAACAAATTTTACTAGACATGGTATGTCAAAGTAAAACGAAAGTTAATAGCGGCAACATTGTGACGTGCTTATGTCATTAATTTTGATCACGTGCATACACTGTTTAATTAATTTTACTATAGCTACAAGTTACAAGCTACTATCTATTATAAGTAGTTAAGTTACTTAGTAACTTAACTACCTCTTTGAAAAAGTAACTAAGCTATTGGTAACTTAACTACATATTAAATTAGTTGAAAGCTACCTACTTTTTAAGCTACATTTTCAAAAGTAAAATTAATGAAAACAAAAATCAATCATATTACCTATAGAAGGTTTTTATATTCTCTGTGTGAAAACTGAAAAGGCGGGATAATAAAAATAAACAACTGTGGTCGTGTGGCGTGGCGCTGATCCAGTCACTCCAAACATGAAAATGCCAAAAGGCAAAAATTGCAACGTCGCATATAAATTGTTTTGAGGCTCCCACCAAGCTCTTATTTTTCTTTCGTGCGCACCGTGCTGAAGAAAGGCGGTGAAATTCAAATCGGCAATCCTCGTTCGTCGTCGGAACACACTGAACACAGTGCCGTAGCGTAGAGAACAGTGTCATAGTTAAATATTCTCATGTATTTGGTAGATTTTAACTGGAGGCAGTTTTGACAGACGCCCGACGAAAACAGCGAATTTGTTTAAGCTTGTAAACGTTGTTTTTAAATATATTATATTGTTGTTTAATATTACTGTCTATGAGAGAGTACCTACTCTAAATTCTGATTTCTTCTGAATTTAACGGCGGGTGAAACCGCGGGGAACAGAACCACTATTTCCAGCGATGTGGGAATGCGAGAATAAAACGGGACATAAGTTGAAACTAGTCTATAGACTAGACACAGGATAAAAATTTTCTGGGAAAATAATTATTGTAGCTTAATCAATAAAAGTAACTTCAACTACCAAAAATAGCTTAAGTTACCAAAAGTAGCTCGAGTAGCTTGCTTTAGCAGCTAGCTACTTTTCACAGTAGCTACTGAATACATGAAACAAATTACTAAAAGCTACAGCTACAAGCTACTTTTTGAAAAAAGTAGTTTGAATAAGTTATTAGCTACCAAAAAAGTAGCTAAGTTAGTAGCTTAACTACTTGGTAGCTAGCTACTGCCCAGCTCTGGTCCTAGTAGAGGTTACTACAGGAAATGTATAAAATTTAAAGAAAGAATGAGAAAATAATACATGATGCGGAAGTTTCTGATAAGTTTATTCATCAAACGTAAAAGTGTCTTGATGAATGAACTTATTCTCCAATAACATGATTTTGCGAACCTTTTTTATTGAAAACTGATGCTTCAAATTATTCGGTCGAAGCAGTTATATTTCAAGGCCTATAGGAGCCGAACTTCCTTTTGCATTTGCGAGCAACACATGAAACCCAGCTGAATGTAATTATTCAACTATAGAAAAAGAACTTCTAGCGAGATAGTCTTGGCATTGACATATTTCAGATCAAATCTTATTGGTAGAAAATTTCCTATACCGACCCAGGTAATATCTGATCACAAGCCACTACAATAATTATTTGATGTAAAAAAAACAGAACTTATGCGCTGAAGACAAAACCATCAGAATCTGATACGAAATAAAATACAAAAACGGAACACTTAGCACGAATGCAGACACATTGTCAAGAGTTCCTCTGTATTCATAACATAGATAGCAGCCTCATGCAAAATTGTCAAAAGATTCAGAATAAGAGTTCCATAAAAAATTAGGAAAAATGCTTGAGGTTTAAAGTCAACCCCCATTTTCTGAACCTTGTGTTCAAAAATTCCAAAAAAAATATATGTTTTATGGTTATTGATATACTTTAATCCATAATTTTTTTAAGCAAATTTGACTCGTCATTTTTGAGTTATATCGCAAAAACTGAAAAAAAGTGGTTTTTCACCATTTATTTCAAAACGAAGAGATGAAGTTTCCCGTAATTTTTATTACGAACTACTATTGCAATTCTACGCGACATATATTTTTTTCAAATTTTTTGAACTTGTAGTTTTCTCGCTATTGCAAGAATAGTTGGAAATACGCCTCTAGCTACACTGTTTAAAAATAAATCCGACGGATGAACGTTCAAAATTATCTGTGTTGGTTCAAACTACAACCCTGTTTATGTAAAACAGAATAATACTTCGAATTTCGGCAAAAAAAAGAAAAAACTTTCCATCACACAATTTAACCAAATGCAGATTTCTATTTTTTCTTGACTATCAAGTTAGGGCACTCTATTGGGGCGACAGTACTGACATCTCGCGTTGCTGTAATAAACAATAGGCCTGACTTTAAACCTTAAAGATACAACATTGTGTAGTGATAAAACTAGCAAAATACTTCACAGAGTATATCTATTCAAACAAAGCGAGAAGGCTGATGAACCATAAAGGAACAACGACAACTGAATCAAATGAATCATCTCAATCCACAGAAACTGCATGAAGTTCTAAGAAAAATCCTGAAGAAATTGATATATACCTACATATTATAATATAGTGTCCTAGCCAAACTAGGCTATTCTTTAATACTTGAAAAATAAATTTTATTATTATAATATATTATTACTATCTGACCCGGCGAACTTCGTACCGCCTCTGAATTATTAAATACCTATTAAATGTTGTGTTAACGTATTTAGTAGCTTTTAAATCCAGTTTTTTTCGATGGTGAATTTGGCCTTGGTTGAAGAAAATTAGTGTTTACTCTCTGAACCAGAAATCACCTAAAATTAAAATTTTACATCATTATTCCTTTTTAGGCATACCTTGTGGGCATTATTCTTGTAAAGTATACCACCAAATAAATAGACTCGGACACAGGAATGTTCAAAGAATGTAAAGAAAAAAAAAAAAAAATCACCTGAATCGTCAATAACCGGCCTGAACTGCCATATTAAATCACGTGATTTGGATTGCCTATTAAAATAACATAAACATAACCTATCACAATATTCACAAAGGACCCCGCACACCTTACATGGGATTTTGGCGATCGGTCGATTTTTTTCAAATTTTGATATGTTGTAGAGAATTTATTTCTTAACAACCTTTAAATGGGACGAAATCTTGTAGGTATAACGGTCTTTGAGATATGAGCGTTGAAAGATGAACTTTTTTGTGTGGAGAGTATACGAAATACTAGTGTTTATCAATCAAAATATTGACAGGTTCACATATTTTACGTCACTAAATATTTGTCAACATGGGCTAAGGGCAGGGTAACACTGGCTCCACCATTGACCCCAGTGCGGTCCCGGCCTTAGCCTATGTTGACATTAATTTGTGAGTGACGTAAAATATGTGAACCTGTCAATATTTTGACTGATAAACACCAGTAGCACCATATCTCGTATACTCTCCTCACAAAAAGTCGCAAAGAAGTTCCTCTTTCAACGCTCATATCTCAAAGACCGTAGTACCTACAAGATTTCGTCCCATTTAAAGGTTGTTCAGAATTAAATCCTCTACAACATATCAAAAAATGGGCAAAATCCATAGAGCCCAAGAATTCCATGTTAGGTGTGCGTTATCCTTTGTACTCACCCTTTTCGGGATCGAAAATTAAATGAAGGTTTCTATCAGGTATCATAGATGGCGTCATATACGGAATGGTATTGCAGTGCAAATGGTATTACAACAGTGACTAAATAAGCCTTATCTACAGTGGCGT